CCTTGAGTTACGAACAATAATAAAAAGTTTGGTTATGCATAAATAAGTTTATTTAAACCACAGTTTAACCACATTTTAACAGTTTTTTTTAAAAATTATTTATTTAAGTTTTTCTGAATTTTATCAACTAAACTTAGGTTAAAAAAAGATTTTTTTAGATTTTATAGATTTTAAAAATGTTAAATTTAATTTAAATAGCAGAAGGTAATCATAGAAACAATTTCTATAATTTTCTACACACTAAAATTTTCCAAATATTTAGATTATTTTTAAGCTATTTATTTAAGTACCTATTTAACATTTTTATTTATTTTTTGTGTGTTAATATCTAAACAATTATTTATACACATAATAGTTTAAGTTTATACATTTTGACAAAATTTGTCAATATTACGAACATTTTAAATTTTAAATATATTTTGTAGTTATAAATTTAATATACAAGGATCCCTCTCTAAGTGGTCCTTACTGAAACCCATATATATATATATATAGGTACAACGAATAAAAATTAAATTAAATAATATTTATTCATATACAAATAATGAATTATATTATATTACTATAGGTATTGTATAGTTTACAAGTTTTCAATTAAATTATTGAATATAATTTTATTATTATTCAAATAACAAAGGTTTTTATGTAAATTATTAAAAACATATTTTTTTAAGATGTAGGCGATGACATTGAATTAAATATATCTGAACCTAGATAATGTATTTTCCTAATGTTTACCGATATCATTTTGAACGTCATTTACTTTCAATTGTATTTAATCCACGTGTATGCAAAACGCTTGTGAAGAAATCAGACTGGAAGTTCATTGAATAGTAAATAAATGTGTGCAGTGGATTCTCGTATATCTTTTCTATTTTATCATATTCGTACTATCAGATTTTGTTGTACTTCTGAAAGGTCTCATCGAATTATTTCCCCTCCCCCGTACTATTGAACCACAATGGAAAATAGACCTGAGCAAATATATATATAAATACTAGCATCATTTCCTTGTTAAAATTGTATTTAACTTGAACATCTTAAACACATAACTAAATAATCAATAGTCATTTCGTTCGGCGATCAATAACTAAACTTAAGTATGTAAGTACTTAAGACTAAACTTTATTTACTCATAATATACTCTGACAATTATAACAATTGCACGAATGAATTATTATTTTATTGATGGTTACAAGTGTAATAGTGAACGCGACAATAACAGTTGTATATATTTTTATTCAGGTTTTTTACTATTCATTATATTTAAGAATATTTACGAATTCCGATTACTGTTTTATATTATAGTATTATACAGTTCCCCATGAGTAGGTAATACATAAAACTATTAATCCACCTACATTTAACTTACATATTTCATGATTTATACAAAATAAACATAACAGGCCTTGACACTAACATGTGGTACACCAACATGAATTAACTTTTCATTGCCGAATATCGGAGTACACCATTTACAGTGACCGTTTATTTTCTGTTTTTCAAATATCTTTTAAACCAATACAGGCATTCAATAACTGGGCAGTTTTGATAAGTTTAATGTGATCAACACAGTATCAAATAATATTTTGGCTATATCTTAAATATAAAATCACCATTAAAAGAAAAGTTAGGTACCAGGGTACCTACTTGGTGTATATTTTTTAAAACGATTCTAATGAGCCCTAGTATATTGTAAAATTTTCAAATTCTACGTATAATATTACATTTTACTATTAAAAATGAATTTCACTATTAAAGTTCAATAATTGTTATAATTCAGGTGCATGTTAATATCAAATAAAAAATAAACTGGTTTATTAAATTAAATTTTAGTTTAGTTTAATGTTGCAACATATTTGGGTTAGTCGTGGTTACGAGTTACCAATACACATCAGTTGTGTGTCGTCTTAAATTTTAATCACACGATTACAATATACAATAATATTATGCAATATTTTAAAGTTGAATAAATTTTAAGAAGGTGTCAAATTGTAAACTCAATATGAAAGGTAGTAGGCAACTTGCGCTTTTGGGTAGCTATACTCCTAATATCTTTCAGACAGTTCCAATTCCTTTGTTAAATATGCGCAATAAATTATGTATGATAATTTGACAGGCGATGAGTAAACGACGCATAGCCAAAAAATCGAAAAATGCTAACCGTCTTACCAAAAAAGGTCGAAAATAACAAAAGGGATGTGCAAATGATTTACAACTTAAGACTGTTCCTTGGGACATATATCTAAAATCTAAATTGTTAGTGATGTGTAGACGCCATTATATGTGTACAGATAATTTGAAATCACAATGACACAATAATATCATTATAAATTATAATTAGGTACCTAGGAAATGTATAATTTGCTATTAAAATAATTATGGTAGGTAAGTCGTACGTGCTATTGTAATTATACATTTATACATATTATTGTATACTTATTATATGTGTTGATGTGCACCTACTAGTGCAATCGAGGTAAGACACAAAAATATACCAAGGTATAAAAAATGGATGTTATTGTTGTACATGCAATATGCATAACTTAACATATAATATTATTGCAACATGTCAATAGCTAATTTTAATAATTTTAATATTTATTTTGTAACAATAATTTATTTAAGGTACCTATTTACTGATAGTTTATAATGAAATGCTATACGTAAAATCATCGATTATAGAAAAAAAAACTGTGTAACAACCAGTAACATTACATAGCATGACAAATATTGTGTTATTTAAATTAGGAAAAGAAAACCAAGTTAATGTTACACAATTTAGTGATGGATGCACATATCTGGCCTCAAAATTATGCAAAAATGTCCTCAGCCTAGTCACGCTAAAATTTTGACAGACAGAAACAATATGCATTCACCACTATTGAGCGAAAATTAAGACATAAAACAATTAATGTACCCAGGGCGCCTCCGCAAGAGTGGGCAAAGGGGCCATTATCTCCTGGTGTATTTTTAACTGGGCGTACTTTAATATCAATATCATCATAATAAATATGTATATATGACATAAAAAAATTTATATATCGTATAATATTCGTATATGTATATTAAATAAATAATAAATATTAGTTTAAAAGTAATTTTTATCCAGCCCTAGGTGGGATTTTATCTTGCTTGGAATGTATCTGCAGATCATGTATTCATAGGTATACACAAGTAATTAATACAAATACTAAAAAACCTTATGCTGTTTATTATACACAAGTACATAACACATGATTTATTTAAATTGTTAATGATGAGAATTAATGAATAAAATTCTCTTTGTTTATACATATATTGTAAATCTACACATCCTGGGTCTGAAAAGGGTGACTAACAGTGACCAATATAAAAGCAATACTGAAACTAAAATATTATGAACCAAAATTTTCTGGAGATTGAATCAGACTCCCCCTTGGTACTAAGGAATAGAAGCAGTAAGAAAAGTGAATCCAACTTTGAAGTATTAAAATTAAACCTAACAGCACAACTATACACAGAGATAATAAAAATCAAAAAGAAGAGTATATGAACCATGGACATTTATAGCAATTAAAAATATCTATGTACCAACGTACCAAGACTATAGGTATCATTATTTTGTAGGCGATCTTCCTAAACAATGGCCATAATGCTATTCATTTTGACATCATTATGCAGCTATTTTTTTTAATGTCTCATGTACTAATGTGTTATAATCAGTTACTTTTTGCCATTTGTTTAAAAGTTATGTATGTACTCGTAGAATGAAAATGTATCACCAAAGTTATTTCTTACTAGTTCTTTAGAGTTTAAAAATAATCGAGTACTTTTTATTTGTTGTTCTTTTTTGTTTTATACATTACATTTATTACATTTTAATTTGTTTGTTACAATATATAAAAAGTTAGTATTCCAAATAGATATTTATTCCAACATTAAAACAAAAATTATTGTTAATTATTTTTTTTTTAATGAACTATTGTAATAGCTTATTTTATTTTAGAATCATAACATAGTAATTAATTGTTGTAACATTTATTAAAAATTCTGTTTCGTGTTTATTTATTCAAACAATGAATATAGGTACAATTTCACCGAAATTTAATTTTAATTTTAACTATTATTTTTTGATGACTTTTGTAATAATAAAAGTTAATAAAAGTTGTGTTATATCTACTTATTATCATTATTATTATAAAAAAATATTTCTTTAAAATATATTATACTAATGATATTATGATATTTAATATTTCTTAAAGACTTATCTTCATTTATTTTATTTATAGTACTAGTATTATGAGAAGAAACGATCTTAAGGTAAGTCATTTAAAAGATCATTAAACAAAAATAAATATTTTAAACTAATTAAAAAAAATTATGAAAATTATTAAGGAAAATAAATCGAGTATTGTCTAACTAATCTAAATTAAAAAAAACGCTTTTTCTTGTCATGTAAAATATACCATGTTGGACTTACGACCTTTGCAATTTAGCTCGACGATGTAGGTATACACTGCGACGATTGATGTATTATGTATATATTTATTAAATAATTTGATTAAGGCTATTTTCCCATACTATAATAACTGATAAGTAATAGTATACCTAGTACCTACGTACCTAAATAATATATATAAGTATTTATATTATATAGTTAGTACTTAGTAGTTACTTAATATCAATATTTTTATAGAATAAATTCTAATCATTTTTCTTCGTGATATTGAATTAATAGTACAGATATAGTATGATTTTGTTTTATAATGTGTCCATTTGTAAGAATTTGACTTTCTTTTACCTGCATTCAACATCATACTGCGCTTTAATAGAGCAAGTGCCTGCTATATAAAAAAAAGTGAGTAATATTGAATATGGTAATTTAAATGTAAATAAATAACAGGAAGGAATACCAGTTTGTAAAACTATGTCTGTTTTCCTTTTGTTCAATATCTCACTTGTCCTATCTCGTATTCTCGTGTACTTACCAAGGTCATTGGCACATTGGCGACTACGATTAGGTTAGTCGCGTTCGAGCTACTCGCCCGTTGTTCCGATTGTCCGTCCGCAACGTAAATATAATATGATCTTAAATTTTATATTTTACTATGATGTCGTACAAAAAAATATCGTTTCTCTCAACATTGACGATATTTTATAACAATCATCGTTTTTAGACTGCTTATAGTATTACGTTTTAGATTAATTCAGACTGTATTATATTGATAAAAATAATGATCTCAGTACAAAATAAAGAGTATGAATATTTATGATATAATTTGTGTAAATTATTCATATTATGTCAAATATTAAAATTATAAACTAAAATCGTGTGTGCTTGATACATCGATTAAAATGTTTTGGATCAATTATACATGGAAATTAAGTAATTACGATTTTTGAATGGCTTCGAGGAGGTAAGTAATAACCTATTACCTATAAACTATAATACCTATAATTACTTGTAATACTTTTAATCTATTAGGAACATACTATTTATGTATTTAAATTTATAACATGGTAAAAGCTCAATGACAATTTTGATTTTTGAGGGTAGTAACATTATTATATGCATATAAAATTGAATAATAATGTCTATTGGGTACCCACTAAATTGTTTGTTTGAATAAAAACAGTTGTTTACTACGTCCATGTACAGTAACTGCGCACAAGTTGAGTTAAATTATTCGAATAACACAATATTCTGAACTGGTATATTTGTATTCCTACTAGGCACTAATATTATATTATAATTCTATATCACTTTTAAAATATACCTATTTATAACCAAACTTTAAAAGTAATACATTATAATTATTAATGGTTCACTTCCCATATTAAGATAATTTTTAACACGACTGAGTAACAATACATTAAAGATTAATAATTTTAATCACTATTAATATAGTATTAGTCTGATAAATATAAGGTAAGTACCTCATATAGGTAAACATAATAAATATTTTGTCACGAAATTTATCATTATAATAATAAACATACATTTGTTTACATTTTATAATATAGATAGATTATTTTATGAAAAATTAAATCAATCCCGTGATAACAATCAATATTAAAATGTGTACCTAAATCAAATTAAATATTAATACAGCAATGTGTTATAAAATATAATCAAATGTAGATACCCATAAAAATATAAAATAGGTAGGTAGGACAGGTAGGTGTAACAATTTATACAACTATTATAATAACTAATAAGTATATTATTTTTACAAAGTTGTAAAGGTACTACTTAACCATAGGTTATTGCTTCCTTCAAGGAGGTGATGAAATTTAAAAAAGATTTTATTTCAGAAACGTATGACTTGATAAATTTATTTAATAAGGCAGGTACAATGAATAAGTTCAAAACTTACCAATTTTTATAATTTGTGGAAAAAATGTATTTATTATTGTTTAAATTTTAGAAATGACCTGTTTAATATTATAAAAGCTAGTAAATGAAGAAAAAATAAGAAAGTAATTTCGTTTTTATTTTAGGTTTTCAATATTATTTACATATTCTACTAAAATAAGATATTTTAACTATTAGCGCTATATGTATCGTACATAAAATATAAATTAGTCATAAAAATTAATTAGATTTAAAATTATTCAAAATACTTCCGGAAGATATACTTCCGAGTTCCGGTGCATACAGCATCTGTACACTACTACGCTGAATGTAGTACAATAAACATCAATTAACGATGTCAAATAATTCTAAATTCTATATTATATACCATTTACACTTGTATTCGTATTAGCATTGACCATGATTTTACTGGTTTCGTTAACTTTATAGAGTTCAAAAATTAAAACATATCTACTGGATATTGACCTTGAATACAACTTAAGTACATAACATTTTCATGTTTCCGGATTTTTTTTCCACGATATTGCAAATTGTAATAAGCATGACAGTCACGAACACATTTCTCATTTCGTTTTCAGCACAATTTTTTCCAAAATACCAATTAAGTACATATGTCATTAATTAATTGTTATTGCCTATAATAACCACAGACAGTTTGCCTATGAGTGGTTTACAATGTAAATAATCATCAATCACATATACCTATATAATATGTATGTCGTGTACTCGTGCGACGTGCCACCCATTAAAAACAAATAAAGATAACTTAAATTCTAAAGATTATTGGCTATTCCATACTAAACAAAATAACGTTTGTAATATTTATAAATACCACATCTAATAAATTATTTTCGTTAAAACAAAAGAAAAAATCGGGGGACATACTATAGCTGCAGTATAGCAGGTGTCAAGTGTAGGTACCTACCTAGTCATTGATGGAGTAGGTCACTGTAATGAATGTGCTAAATTTAAATTTGGTGATAAATCATTGCAAAGCTTAAGAAAAACGAAACTAATCTTTGACGGGCTGAACATCGTGTATTACAAAGCATATTTTAATATACTTTTATATAAGTATTTATATTACTATTTAGAATTTCTTTTGTTATTTGTGAACGGTAGATTGAATTCATTAAAAATGTTTTGGTATACCTGCAGCATCATAATTACACCACTCCTTAGTTCATGGTACAATTAATAGTAGGTAATAGCATAATATTAATGTAGATATTTTGAAAATATTATTGTGTAAAGTACAACATTTAAACATAATAATAGACGTAAAAGTTTATGTCCTCATGTTTAGTAACCACGAACTATATATTTAAATTACAACCAAATAAAAAAAAATCATTATCTTTAGCTTAAATATCTTTTTTCATCAAAATTGTAACTTTAAACGTCTATAGAAAAAATTCAGCAGATATATTTTTAGGTTTCAGTTAGAATTGAATTTACTACACACGTGTGGCCGTGTGGGGCTTGTCTGAGAGTTTATGTATTAAATTTAAAAAAGCTCAAAATAAGTCTAAATATTATCATAAAAATCGTATTGTGCATGCAAAGTCATAATTAAAATAATAGTGGAATATTTCACAAATGTTTTTGATTAATATTTTTTAAATAAACACATAATAACAAAAATTGACTATTAAATTATTTAATTACTGAAAATTGTTATTATACGTGATACGTTTGAATATCTAATGTCGTCAAAATTTGAATTTTTTAGATTATAATTACCAAATGATATATGCAGTTTTTCGTGATTTTGATGAATTACTTAAAAACGTTTAACTATAAAGTATAAACACTTAAAAAAATAATTGCCCTTAGTCCTTACGATATTTTTTAATTAGTATATTTATACGTATGAGGTTGAATAATATTTTCAAAACGAAATTTTGATCATAGATTAATAATAAATTAAATAAATTCAATTATATATAAATTACACAATGAGAGCTAAAATATTTTAAAGGTTCAAAAAATATATTAAATGAATACAACATTTTAAATACAAATTAAAAAGTAAACAAAAAGTCTTCTATACACCCACTGCTCCATGTTGCGGAGGATTTTTTCAAATAAAATTACAAAAACCTGTTTTGAGGAAAAATTTCCATTTTTTAATAATTTTTAGATTGCGAGTAGAGCAAAATAATCTACAATTTTATTTTACAATGATGTGTGGTTTCCCCGAGTATTTTGAAAAGTAGTGTTAATTTTTTCTTTTGACCAATTCTTACCAGATCCAATTTCCCACCAAAACTACTGTGGAAGTAAAATATTTAAATATTTTCATTTCTCCAAAAGTTAATGGCAGAGAAGAAAAAGAAAAAGAAACATAGACACACCATTGTAAATAAACCAATACATTAGTCACTAGGTACGCTCGGAATCTAAAATAATACGTTTTTGCGACCTTCGTTTTTATGTTTATTCATACTAAATAATATATTCGATATAGTCATTAAATATATACCTACTGAATATTGAATGTTGATTATTAATTTAACTCAAACAATACTCGATATTTTTTAATGAAACCTAAATGTAAATATTATAATTTTATTATTTTTTATAAATTTTAGCTTAAGACTTGTATTTTATATATTTAGATAGTTGCATGACAGTAAGTTGATGCGTTACGGGTTGGTGATGCCAGTCAAAAAAGTCATCAATTTCCTGAATAGTACACGTGATTTGAGACTGTTGAAGATGGTATCCACTTCCATTTCCTTGGATAGGAGGTCGTACTCTGAGATAAATGTACCGAAGACACAAGTAATAAATGAGGTAAGACACAAGTAGTTTGAACTAACAATTAAACATTTTGTTCCTACTTTAAGAATGCTAAACTGGATTTAGTGCAAACGATCGAACCTTGAACGATTTCAATGATTCAGACGATAAACCAGTTCGTAATTCATTTATCTATAAGTCCTGCCTTTTGCTTGGTATCTATGTATAATTTTTACAATACATTTGAATTTTATTTTTTTATCTAATATTTATCTAATAGTTATTATTTATTATCTGATTATTAAGTAACAGCACACATACATGCAAGGTATGACCACCGTGAAATGTTTTATGAAAATATTTTTTAATTATGTAACCTATCCTTACTTTTGATTTATAATTTATATTGATTATAATTTACAACCCTTAAGGGAAAACAAGAGTTTTTTTTTTAAGATTCAATGATAAATGGCCATAGAGCATAGAGACTTGAAATCGGTACCAAATATTCATTGTCATAAGATAATTTTCAAAATATTTTGGCTCTTTTTGTGACATTTGATATCTTAGATGTATATCATACCTAAGTATGATCAAATTTTAATTTTTAGGCATAAAAACTCGAAAATCTAATATAACGTTTCTTCATGATTTGGTATTACCACAATTTATAAATATCAATAAAGTCACAATATTTTTTTTGTAATAACGTCTGAAGTTCAAATTCTGACAAAATTACGAACATTTTTAAATTATTTTGTAGGTATTTAAAAAATTATTAAATGTTCAATTTTTATAGCTAAGGCTTAAAATGTAATACAGCATTTCTCACTAGTAGTTCTTATTGAAACCCAAAACTTATTAAAAATGTAAAAAACATTATTTTTATACACATTTGCTTAATATATTAGGTAAAACTTTGAAAATTAGGTTAAACGAACAATAATGGTTTTAGTGATTTAGTTGTAATTCGAAAATATTATTCATGGGTAGCTTATCTATTTGAAACATTTAAACATCGTATTTTACACAATGACACCTTCGATCTTCAATAGATATATTAAGATTCTTTTTAAAGTATTACCTATTCATACGACGAATCCCTATTATCAATTTGGTAAATCCTGTTGTATTGCCTTGTATAGTTAATAGCAATAATGTATGATATAAATGGGCGATTGTAAGCTCCGCCAGAATACTGGTTAGATAAAAAAATAATGAAAACGTTTGACGTAAACATAATATAACATACTTAACCACGTGTTTTATGATTATTGATTATTACCATTATTTATTATGATTTTTTGACTTAATACATATTACAATCTATTTGATTTATTCGGACAACACTTATTGAGAGTACACGAATGTAGTAACTAAAAATTGAAGATTTTAAGAAAATCGGGTTTTTCATATCATAATGTTATACGATATATATATATAAATTACATTTTTCCAGTACGGTATCCACTAGTGCAGCGGTTCCCAAACTTTTTAGCTGTGCGGACCACCAATTTTATAAAAAATCTTTGAGGCCCACAAATAGCTCACCTATATATACGAATGCAGAAATATATATATATATATAAATAAATTGTTTATCACGAAAAACACTTTATTAAACTTAATCACAAGTTAAACAATTTAATGTGATTATTGACATCACTTGTCCTTCATGAGAGAATCAATATCCGGATGAAAACTGGATAGTTTTAGAATTAAATCATTTTCAACATTTAGTTTATTCCTATAATTAGCGTTAATTTGACAATAATTTGACACTACAGAGCGTAGATAATATTGATAAATATTATTATAACCAGAAATATTATTGGCCATGTACTAAAAATATATAAAATTAAATATTATATATTTATATGGTTCACGGCCCAATACCACACTGCTCGAGGCCCACAAGTGGGCCGCGGCCCATAGGTTGGGAACCGCTGCACTAGTGCATTGAAACAATGCGATTATTGGTGAATCGACTTTAATGTACTCACAGAGGGAATTATCCTCGGAATTATCATTAGAAAAATTATGATTTTTTTTGTTTGTTTCATAATATGTATATTATATTAATTTTTTTGTTACTTGATTTTCTTTTTATGCACCCATTTAAACAGGGAGTAACAGAAATGCGTAACAAAAAATTTATAGGCACTAGTTAAACGTATGACAAAAATTAAATACATTTTAGGTACATGGATAATACATAATTTATACAATTTACTTATGTCAGGAAATTCAAAAAAATAATTTATTAAAAAAAGTTATTACATTTCAAACTAATTTACTACAAAAAAATATTGAAATTAAGATAGGCACATTAAAATTTAATAAACGTTTTAACCATCAAAATTTCGAAATTAAAAAAAAAAAAATGTAGCACAGGCATCCAAACATTTTTTTTTTAAAATAATGTTTTAATATTAATGAAAACAAAAGAGTTATTCCATATGTTGGGTCTTTGTTTACATTCTGTATACTATTACAAGAATTGACAGTATAATTAATGCTATATGTTTTTGTCAACATTAATTCAACACAAGGTATTATTAATGTTGAAATAAATTACTATAATAGCAATAAAGGTTAGCATAACCCATAAAGTAAAAAAAAACTTAATAATTTAAGCTGGCAGACCGTTTCCGCTCCGAATTATTTTTCGTGTGTAATGATTTATTGTCGAATTCAAATTTAACTGTCTAGTTACATTAACCTAATGTACAGAAGATCAGTTACCCATCTACTGGCCTACATTTAGATTCTGAGCGGAGCGATGAATGTACTAATTTTACAATGATGTGTCGATGTGTGCAATTCATTTTTGAGGCAGAAAACATTATATTATGACTATTTTATTGATGACTTTTAAAGTATACATGACTATTTACCGTAGTTACTTGATAAGATTTTCAAAATACTTTAACTTTTTTTGAGCTATTAAGAAACTTGACAATTTTTTTTTTTAGTTTCAAATTATTGTCGATAAATAATTTTTCATTTAGTAAAAAGCTTAAAAATTTAATACATGGTTCTTCATAAGATGTTATTAATGTAATTAAAATACGTAGTTGAACGTGAAACCACAACAATTATTATTTATGAACGTCTGAAGTTAGATTTTCGACAAAAGTCTTAAAACTTACAAAAATTTGAAAATTATTTAGAGATACAAGTTCATAAAAAATATGTATGTGTATTCAAAATTAAAAAATTGAATATAAGATACTTCGTATGTTTGCCTATGATAATAAAACAAAAAATTCACATTCATTTTTGATGAGCTATTTAATTATTACATTTTTACAACCTCGAATATTCACCTGTAAACTAACGATTTCTCATCGAGCGATTTTCTTACTTTGTGATAATTCAAAACAAATAACCGTAGGTAAGTAGTTCCTGAAATGTTCACCGAATATTTATAATTAATTATTTTCAATACATAATAATATTTTGACTTTAACTAGGTATATTATATCTTGTGCCATAGACTAAGATATTTTGTTGCGTAATTATCACCCATAAACCCTCTAAATTCTAAAACTATTTTATAAAATGTCTATTATCATTTATCTACCTAAATGATGGCTTTATGTTGAAAACAAAAGTGTCAGTTTTTTGAAATATGAATATTGTTATACCTTTACATCGATAACAGAATAGATAAGTTATTTGTTTTAATTTTTCGAGAGTTCAGCATTTGCAATTTTCACTGTGAGGTACTCGTCGTGATTCATTTATTTTTTTTTAATGGCCAAACGTGACTGAACAATTATTTAGTTTTTCTCGAAGAAGAATAAATATGATGAAACAGTATGTATCTATCTAAGATTTAAGGTTTTCAAATTACAAATAATTGTGTTTAATTCAGAAATGAGAAATTGCATGGGTATAATTATGCCTACAATTTGCAATTGTTTTAGATATTTTTAAACATTCTCCATAAATGTCACTAAAGCTAAAATCATTTTTTCCCACCAGATGAGCATAACGCCATGATGCTGTTATGTTATTAAACGAACTACAGGCTGCAATTCTTTAGAAGCAGATCTTCTCTAGAAGAAATTTCCTTTGTGGACAGATGTTGATACATCATCAACAGCCAATTAACTTTTAGCTTCAATATTCCAATCTAAGTTCCAGGTATCACTTATGATTCTTATAAACTGTTTTCAATATCTGTGCCACTGAGTAGACTTTTACAAACTGAAAGTTTAGATTTAGAACAGCCTATTTGTTCTGCCAATGTTACTCAAAACACATTAAAAGATATTCATGCGAATGATATGAAAAGTTGAATAAGATTTAAATTTGTTGAAACTAAACGTAACAAAATTAGAATTGATGTTAGTATTCCCAGAATATTAGGCCTTTGTTGACCATAGAAGTAATATATGTACAAACAATCCAAAAGTTGACTACCATGTTTCAGTATTAATTATCCCTTTCTTGGATAATTTTATGGATCAACTGCTTGATCGTTTTTTAAGACATAGTGTTGAAAAAATAATATTGATAGTAATAATACATATATTTGCAAACAGCGACAACATAATTTCGATTTGCATATAACATTATATAAGCTTGGTCACCTCCTATAAGCAAAAACTTGTGTTGGAGGTGAGAGGTATCTAAATTAGTCAATGTATAAATGTATAATGTATATATAATACTAATACCAAAAATAAAGTAATTAAGTGATTTACCTTTTACAGAATTAGAAATATAGTAACATATTATCGTCAGAAACGTTTTACGATATAATATATGAAAATAATTTTGGTGATATAAGTGAATTTTCAAGTACTACTGAATTACAAGTATTTCAAAATAGTATTAAGCTCCAGTCAGAAATTATTCAAACAAAAACAACTGTAAAAGGCCTATACTTTCAGCGTGATTTTCAAATACACTAGAATGTACCCATCATTTAAAAATTGCTAAAAATTTGTATTTCTATATCAGCTCTATAGCCACCAAAAAATCAGTGGTATCATTTATGCCATTTCCCAGGTACTGAAAAAAAAATTGTGGTACCTAGGTTT